GTCTTCAACCTCTTTAACAACTTTTTGTTCTGTTGCTGGTTCTGGTACTGTTTCTTGATTATCTTCTTGGGTGATTTCGACACTGTCAAATAGAGCTGAAACACAGAATACTAGTAACTAAAGAGTGGGGAAAAGGTGGGGAATTTAGATTGTAATGGGATTTGAGGTTTGGAGTCTTTATGGGTTTGGTTTTATAGGGAAAGAATTGAACGGTGATAGAAAAATGGTGAATTGAAGTTGAAGAATTGAAAATGGCGGGCAGGTGGTGGTGGGACGGGTTGAGTTTTGAGAAGAAGGTAGAAGTTTTGTAGGTTATTTGCACTTTTTAAAACATTTGGGTATGGTTACAATTTGTTCTTTATAGTTCTTTTCTTTTTCTTTTTGTTTTATGTAAATTGGAGGGTATATCGGTCATTTTATGTCAAAAAGTGGGGAAAAGGATGTTTTGGGCAAGAAAAGTGAAAGGTAAGGACGTTCTGAACCAAAAAAACGAAAGGTATAGACGTTTTCCACAAGAACGGGCAAAGGTAGGGACGTTTTGCGCCAATTAACCAATGCAAAACTTTGAAACGTATGGACGTTTTGCACACTACATACCAAACATAGGGACGTTTTGTGCGATTAAGCATTTGTATGGAAGTGTTGGTCAATTTTATGTATGATGCAGTGAGGACATTTGTCTTATATGCCCTGTTTGGTGTTACTTAAAAAGTGGATAAAATTTTAAGTTAAAATAAACAATTAATTTTAATCACATATTTCATTAAATTCATAATTTTATCTACTTTTTAACTATGTTTAATCAATTTTTATTAAAATTTATTAAAAATCTTAACTAAACCAGAGTGGGGCTAAATATGATCATAAGTCAAGAAAAAGTTCATATACTTTATAATTTTGCTTCAATCAAGTAATTTCACTTTTTGTGTGAGTTACAGTTACTCAGGCTCAACATTGTCGAATTGAAAGATTACATTCTTCACAGACTGTTAATTAATCAATGAATTCATTAACATAATTCATTCAATGTCTCTATGATGTCAATTGAGCGTCTTTTTGATCCCCATTATTTCATATTATAATGAGAGGAATAATAATTTTTTGGAGAATGTGTGATTAAAAAAGAAGGAAAATTTTTTAAGTTTTAGTGTAGTCTTATTTTATTAGAGAATATATGGTTGATAAGAAGTGAGTGCAAAATAAATTATAATTTAATAGGGAATAATGGAGGCCAAACGGGAGCTAAGTAATTCATGTAACGTGATGAGCTGAGCATTCTCAAAGTCATACTAGGGGTCGAAATAATGAATTTGATAGAATTATGCAAGAAATCTCTCAAGTGGAAGGGTATAAGCTCGAATGGGAGAAATAGAACTCAACAACTCCCCAAGTCAACAAGTTGAAAAACTCGACGCCACTATTATTGAACAACTTGGAATGAAATCTTTTGAAACCATTACGAAAATGAAAAAAATGGTCAAAATCGAATTTAGTTGTCAATTATCCTTATCGATGGCTATCTAAGGATTGCTCCATGAATCTCATCAGCAAATTGATATCTAAATTTTAATTTAAATTAAAGTTAACAATTAATTTTAATAACATATTTTATGGAATCCATAATTGTTTTAACTTTTATCAAAATTTACTAAAAACTTGATTTTAATCTCCACCAAATAGGGGCAATATCATAATAAATTTGAATTTCGATAACATGTTAATTTTAAAAATTCTCCGACGATCGTACGCTAATCGAATCTACAAATTGCTTACATCATTTCAAAACTTATTTCGAGAACTACATCATGGACATATCGAATAGCTCAAACAGAGATCGAAAATAATTAAAAATACGTTACACGTGAGTCTTAAATAAAGACGTCTAACTCGCATTTAAAAAAAAAAAATCAATTATTTCATTAACGTTTATTATTTTTGCTATACAAATTTTTCAATGTAATTTTCATCATTTTATTAAGAAATTTTATATGAAATATAATATCAAAAATTTTCGAAATTTTATATCCGAAAAATTTATATCCCGTGTAAATTTTCAGATCTAAAATTACAGGGGTATAATTTTTTTGGACGTAAATTTTCGATTGTAAAATTTCTCTCAACTTCTTTGCAAGTTCGATTGTGTCTCCCTAACTTTAAAGTTCTGCGTCCACCCCTGCTTCTTGGGGCTTCTTTGGCAACCTTGGTAGTCATCGATCAATCTAAAGTGTATTTTCCTTCATGTTTGACTTCCAATATTTTGTCCATCTAATTTTGTTGCTTTTATTTGGTGAAAGATTTTAAGGATTACTTATGGATGGCAAAAAAAGCTCGACGGCTTAGGTTGCTCGGAAAAAGCTCGAGCTGAACCAGACTCGGGCTCGATTACACCGACCAGAGGCTCGGGCCAAGCCCCATTTTGGGGCGTCGGCTCGAGCCAACCCATGGTCGTCACCGGCCCGTGACTAAGTATTATATTAAAAAAAAATCAAATTTTTTAATTTTACTTTTAAGTTTAATGTGTTTTTTTATATATATTAATATTTAGTTATTATTTATAACACGTATAAATTGCACAAAATTTAAATAGATTATAAAAAATTATAGATTTATAATGAATTTAAAAAAAAACACGGACCGGCTCGGCTAAGCTCGGGCTCGGCCCACTAAGGCAGTCGAGCCTCATTTTTTAGCCCAGCAAAACCTCAAAAAGCTAGGACCTGTTTTGCCCGAGCTCGAGCTTTGAGTTTCGGCTCGACTCAATTCGTTGACATAGCTAGGATTACTATACTTTTAACGTTGTATCTCAAAAAGTATTAAACTTTAACATAGTTCTGAATATCTACGGTACATTCAATGTTATTTCGCATATATTTACTCACACTCTGTTTGTTTGAAAGTTTGTTAATTTTGATGACGTGGCAAAAGAATTGTTATTTTTTTAAATGATCCGGAATTACTGGTAGGAAACAATTCTTTTTTTGATACCCAAGTATCCCAACTTATACCAGACTATATCCTGGACCACCCAGAACCGGTGCCTCAACTCTAGACGGAGGTAAATTGCGGGTTATGTCCAATCAAGCCAGTATCCATGCAAGCTTTATACTCCTGGCTCCAAGGGAGCCCTCCTGCGCCGGCCTTTACAACACCAAGCTGCTCCACCACATGATTTGGGTATTACAACACTTGGCTGCTCTGTCTGTGATTCGAACTCCCCACACTGGGGTTGCAAGCCCAGTCTTGCACTGTCTTTGCCATCTTGGATGTGCCCAAGGGCACGGTAGGAAACAATTCTTAGAAGTACATACGCAGGATAAAAAGTACAGACGACTTAAAATTTTTTTGACATTTGTACTTTCTTCCATTGACAATCATTGTTGACAATGTCTTTGTTTTCAAATATTTGTGGGCGAAATTTTTTTATTTTTTAAATTGGCGAATGACAGTTTACCATGTGACAAACTGTCGAACTTGGTGTACACACCAAGCATGATTGTTAAAAAAAAATTGAAATTCAATGGAATTTCACCATTTTAACTAGATTCTGCGAAAATTTATTAAAATTTAATGAAATTCATTAGAATCTATAATCACCCCGTAAAATTGTGAATGGACCTTCATTGTCTTCCTTTTATTGCTAAGATTGCATGATTAATCAACATTATAATTTAAATTCACGATATCAGCTCGACTAACATTGTGCTGATATGTGTTGGACGACATACAACGAAACAGCTTCTTGTATGTATAGCATCAACTAATCTACTAAATCTGTAACAAAATGGAACTAACTCCACAACTCAATTGCTGTAACCATTTCTGTGTGTCTTTTGCCATCTCCAAGCGATTGCCAAGCTTTCTTCAAGATTTGTGTATTTAGCCGACCAGTTTAGCTCATTCTTGATCTTCGAAGGATCGCTATACACTTCGGCATAATCCCCTGGCCGACGACTTAGGTAGTCCACCTTTATGTTCACACCAGTAGCTTTCTTACATGCTTCCACAAATTGTTTTACTGAACTACCTTTTCCAGTTCCAACATTGTAAATGCCAACTTTGCCTGGTTTTGCATGGGCTAATGCTTTAACATGTGCATCAATCAAATCAGTGACATCAATGTAGTCTCTTACACAAGTTCCATCTGGTGTGCTATAATCTGTCCCTTTTATCTGTGCAGCAATCAGATGAATAAACTACCTTTTCAGAATTTTGATCCTAACATTCCTGGATCAAAATTTGAAACCATAACAAGAAAAATGTGTACCTTTAATCCCGAAATTATTCCTCTGGCTGCATCGAAACAAGCACCTGAAATACGTCCCTGTTCACGCAATTCTGGTCGTGGAGCTTCTCCCAATCTTCCTTCAGGGTCGGAGCCAATTACATTGAAGTACCTGATCACCATATTCCACATAGAGGTCATTACTATAACTTACTGTGTTCTTTGTTTTAAGAAATTTGTCTATTTAAGAAATCGCTGTAATAATTGTGGGTTAATTGTGGGTATATATTCTCTTTTAGGTTAACTACTAGTCCGTGCTGTGTACGATATACAAACCTTAAGATCATGACAGCCATGTCGGAAGTCTTTGAGAAGTCCAATATAATGTCTTCCGCCATTTTCTTGGCTTTTCCATATGGATTGATAGGGGCCTGAAGTTTCGAAACAGTTAATCAGATGCTTTTTTCTAGCCAACTTCAACTAATTGAAAATTTCAAACAGGAAGGGCAAGATAAATGCATAAATTGAGTACTAACTTGAGGAGTAACTTCTGTGATAGGCATCTTTTCTGGTTCTCCATATGTAGCACAAGTGCTCGAATAGATCAATGTCTTTACACCATGTGTAGCCATTGCCTTCACTATTAACAAGGTATTTGAAGTAATATTATGATAGTACCTGCACTCAGATCACACGATACTGCTAAGAAATATGTAGCAATAGGCACGGAACAACTTTGTATCTTTAGCAAGTCGATAAGTTTTGTAATGCTCGAGTAGCAAAGGTCGAGGCCTTGGACTCAGACAGGGTGGGGTGCCAATAAGGTCCGTGGTGGCCCAGCCTAGGCGCTGCACTACCTGGACAGGCCATGTCTAGCTCTTGGAACCACGACCAGTGCAAATTTTTCTTTTTCAATGGATAATGGGAAGTACCAGAAAAAAAGTATCATCATAAGAAAATGTAAGTTAATGAGAGATGAAATCGAAGAGTACAAAATACCTTAGAGGCTCAGCTGTACTTTCACCAACATAAGCAACAGCTGCGAAATGCATGACAGCATCAAACGCGTTCTCTTTAAAAAATTTATTTACCTGATATAAAAGTTTAAGGATGAAATTGCCAAAAAAACTGGATTTCATTTTGAGAGCTAATTAATAAGTAGACATGATAGAATAAAAGTGCAATTAGTTGTAATAGGATACTGATGCTGCATCTCCAAGATCAGCATATATAAATTGAAGTCTCCCAGGCTCGGGATAAAGTTTTTGGAGGACTTTAACAGCTCCCATATTCCCTCTGGAAAGGTTGTCCTGCCAGTAAAAACCCGTTTTCAAGAACAATATTTTTTCACTCTCAATTGGAATTAATTCACTATAGATGAAACGAAATTCGACCATGGACATACCACAATGGTTACACGATATGAATCCTTGAGAAGCCGAAGGACTGCATGAGAACCTATATAGCCTGCACCTCCAGTTACTAAGACGTGCGTTACACCAGATTCGTGTTGAGAAAACTGAAGATGCAAAGATGAAATTTCATAAAGTCAGATTGAGAGAAGTTTATGATCTGGAACTACTTACAGTTGTCTATTGAAGTAATACCGCACAATCGTATGATTTCTTATCAAGAACTTAAACACATTGTGCAAATGCTGCGTGAGAAACTAACAATTTTGCAATTTTCCTCTATTGATACTGTCCAGTACTATTTTCCAAACAAACTGTAAATGTTCTATCACAATCAAACATAGCAGGCTTTTTGTTCAACATTGGAATTAGAGGCATACCTTGGTAGAGGCACCAGTACCAGGTGATCGCTTGAAAAGAAAAATAAGAAGTGCAGTGATTCCGGCAGCTAAGAAAATTTTCCTAGTGTTGCTCCTTCGATTCGTCTCCATAAAATCCATCCCTGCAAATGCAGATTTAATTCCTCGTATGATTTATCAGTAAGCAATCAATAAAGAAATTCATATTCCCCTGTTAACTAAGAATCTTAATATCTTTTGTTGAGGACTAGGAAGATGAACAATGTGCAATAGTTTCTTGGTACGAAGACTAAAGATTATCTTCTTACAGAATCTGACATTTGTTTTGTGAGAAAATCAAAGGCAAAATGCACGTAATGAATTTCGAGGCCTAAAAGACTTGCACAAACAACAAAGATGCAATCAAACCAATTTGAACCTCTACTTGGATTATATTATATACCTCGAAATCGATTAAGCAGCAAAAGTCTGAGGTTTCTTCTTATTATTTCCCACTGAATTGTCTCTTCTCGCTAATGTAAACAGCAAACGAAGGCAGAACTAATGACGACGTTGAAGAATCTTCAAGCTTGTAATAGATATGATCCAATCTGTATCAATTCACAGGACAAAGAAAAAACATCGATTAGCAAAATGATCCAACAAGGAAACAACCTTAAATCTCCCATGTTATTGCATCAGATGTTAAATTCTAATTCTTCAGAAATATATGTCTTAAAACAGACTCAGTTTTTCAGTCGGAGAAACCTAGGAAATACAACAAAAGAGAATCATAAGCCAGAAACTTTTTTTTCTGAATTACATCACATGAATTTTTCTCGCTTATTCTTACCTTAAAACATTCAAAAGATCATACATAAGAACAGAAGAGATAAAACCCAATTTTAACAAAAAAAATTAATCTGACCAAATCAAAACAGAACCCAAAATCATAAACGAAAAACTAAAAATTCGTACCTGAACTGGAGAGAGAGATGGAAATAAAGAAGACTGATCGAAGACGGTATAAATATATATAAGTAATAGTGCGAAATGTCAAAGGGTAGGAGAAACGGAAAAATAAAGAGAGTTTGAATGTGAAATAACGCGTTGAGATGATTTAGATAATCTGAATATTGTAGTGGAAGAAAAGTGGACCATGTTCTTCAGTGCAACCTACGATCAAACGAAGCCTTAAAATAAGGGGATGGCACACAAATATTGCCATCACATACGCAGTAAACCATCCATTTTCCGAATGTGTGTGTGTTTTGTTGGACCAAGTCACGAGGAGGGAGGGATCATCAGAAGTTTGAATTGTAGGTTGTATTTGAAGAAAAATCAAGAAGAGTTAAATATCGAGATATTTACGTGGGAGGGAGTTGATATTCGTGGTCGCTATTTGGCAACACTTCTGACAATCTCAACTACATTTCGTTACATCGCACTTTGTCAATATTCTAAAAAATTGAATCTGGGCGCGAGACGGGGACGAAACGCCACTGCTCAACAATGAACGTGAAATTAAGCGATCAACTATCAAATTGATCACTTAATGCACGACTAGGCACACCTAATCGTGCTTTATTTATGGTTTTTTTTTTTTTTTTTAAGTCTTTTATTTGACTTTAGTTTATTAATTTTTTTATTTTTTAAAAACCTTTTCATTTGACTTTATTTTCATTTTTTTAAAAGATTTTATCTTCATATAGGCTGTTAATTCCCCAACAAGATAGTTACGTGGGAGAGAGTTGATATTTGTGGTCGCTATTTGGCAACACTTTTGACAATCTCAACTACACTTTTTTTTTTTTTGATCGGTAAATGATTAATTAGATTGATCAAAACACATACACATACTCCAGGCATACCTGGGTAAAACATCAAACGTCAACAGAGACAAGAGTCGAATGCATCAAAACCCAGGCATACCCGGGAACAACTGAACAAGTGAACTACACTACATAATTACACATCAAGCGCTAGAGACTCATAAAGCATTAAAACATGCGGATACAAGGTAAACATGACATTGTATACGTATGTTTTAATCCGTCTAACCACGCTCTCAACTACACTTCGTTACATCACACTTTGTCATTTTAAAAAATTGAATCTAGGTGCGAGGCATGGACGAAACGCCACTGCTCAACAATGAACGCGAAATTAAGCGATCAACTATCAAATTGATCGCTTAATGAACGACTAGGCACACCTAATCGTGCTTTATTTATGTTTTTTTTTTTTTTTAAAGTCTTTTATTTGACTTTAGTTTCAAGTTTTTAATGTCTTTATTTGTACAAAAAATAGTCTGACTTTTTGCATTTCGAAAATTTGATTATTTGCACACCTAATCGTGCTTTATTTATTGTTTTTTTTTTTTTTTAAAGTCTTTTATTTGACTTTAGTTTCAAGTTTTTAATGTCTTTATTTGTACAAAAAATAGTCTGACTTTTTGCATTTCGAAAATTTGATTATTGTGAAATTATTGAGTAAATATATTATTTTATAGTTTTCGATGTTTAGTATGTATAATTTAATTATTTAATGCTTTTTAAAATGACTAAAATTTTAAAAATAATAAAATGCATTTTTACACCTAGGCTCGTTAAAGTTTGAAGTTTGACCTTCACGTTTTACACATTTTTACTCTTCGTTAATGGGATTAATTTTCAATATGACGTGTGAAGGTGCCGACGTTTTGATAGTGAGTTGGGCAAATGATGACATCAAATCTCTCAACTGTGGAATGGACTTTGTGTATGGTATAGTTTATGTCATGTTAGAAGTAGGAGATGCTAGTAATTTTTGTTTTGAGCAATGTGAATTTTGCGAGACGAAGTGAAATATGAATTTGTAAGAATCTTGATAAATAATTTTAATTACATATAACGGTTGCCAAAACAATATTTATTGTATTCAATGTGTAAATGTAAAAAGTCTAATTTTATATTATTTGTGTAGTGTATAAAGAATACAATCACATTGCAAACATCGTTGGTGTAGATTGAAATCAGATTTTCAGTAGATTTTGATAAAGATTGATGAAATATGTTGTTAAAAAGTGTGGATTTTATAAATGTGTGATTAAAATTAATTGTTAATTTGTTTAATATATACCAAACAGCGGCAAAATTACTAAGTAGTAAATAATGATAATTGCCTTCCCTATGCTACGTAGACTTGTTCGTTTTTGTCGCGTTTGATCTAATTAAAAAAAGTCGGAAAAAAATTTAATTTAGGCTACGTTTGAGCTCCATTTTTTATTTTTTTATTTTTAAAAAAAAATTGGTTTAGTAATTGGGATTTTTTTGAAGAATGTGTGGCTAAAAAAGTAAGAAAGAAATTTGGATTTATATGTAAAATTATTTTATTGGAAGAACATGTGATTAAAAATGATTTCGAGAAAAAATGAATTTTAGAGAATGAAACTTAAATGGGGACTAAGTCAACGATAAATTTCAACCGCATCTCATAGGGCTCGCAACTTTTTTCAATTTTTTAATCGCATATTTCATCAACTTTTATCAAAATCAACTAAAAAAATATGATTTTTAGTCAAACCAAAGTTCAAACATTATACATACAATAATTTAATACTAGTATGAAGGGGTTGCGGTCTATTTGAATTTTGAAAATATTACTAACCAAGCATTTCTTGAAATATGCAAGTTATTGCTACTCTAGCTATGTAATTGGACAGCCTAATTACGTTGACTAGTAGATACAATACTAAAAAATGTGCATCCTAGTGGAAGTTGTTAATTAATTTCATTATAACACAATAAAATATTGCAAATTATTTTGAGTATGTCCAATTGAACAAGATGAAACAAGACAAATAACAAAATTTGTCATGTAATTCATTTAATATTGTTTAATTAATATATCGAACATGTTGACATGTGAATGTAGGTTCACTTTGATACTACCTAAAATTATACAGGGATAAGCTGAGGTCAGTTAACTGTTGGACCCAAGGTTAAACATGATCAACGCTTCTAATACTTGAAATAAAGGTTTTGAGGCGTGATCATGTTGCATCCGATGATTAAGTTAGCATACCTCATTTGGAACATAATGTAACTATCGAACAAAATTTCAAACACAAAATATAACAATATTAAAAATTTAATTATATATCATACACTTTATTTTTTTTTTCCAAATTTGTGGGGTTTATCCCATGCATGGACACACGGGACGATTCCTAGTGTGTTCATGCATGGCGTGTTATCCCTCTGAGGATTAAAGTCAACCCTTATGTATATCGAGGTGATGAACCGTTACTTTACAGGGTCACGTGAGATACTTTGAGATCAGAGGTAGGTCGGGCTAATCATAGGTAGATTTAGCATGTATACACCGAATAAATAAAATCAGATATAGCCACTTGTCAATTTACAAAAACAATTTGAATAGTCATATATATATAGTTAAGAAATTATTTGCTTTAGTATTAATTTTTTTGTGGAATTTTGCTGTATGTGTTAATTGTACCTAACCTAACATAGCCGACTGATAACGTGGAAACGTGCAGTTTGTGTCAACTTCTTATAACTCACTACAATTATTATATTCCAATTTTTAAAAGTCAAATATTTTCTTGTTTCAATTGGTTCTTGTAGTCTTTTAGATTTGGCCAACGATGGCTACGTTCAAAATTGTCTTTTCCTTCTAACCGAGAAGTAGTCCGTTCATAATTTATAAATTAATTTACTTTACTTCCAAAAAGTCTCTATCGTACCCGCGTGGCACAAATTAGGGATGACAATTGAGCCAAACAGTCCTATGACCTTGATGATTTGGCCCCAAGTATTCGGCCCTAATGGGGGTAGAGCAGGTCAACCTACACCCTCGATTTGGCGCAAGGCCCATTATTGATATGGATTATGCTACATGTATATTATGGTACACATAATGGTGTCTATAATGTACATGTGACGCCCCCCTATTGGAGAGAGTGTTTGTCCCTCTTTTGGACTCCATTTTAATAAAATTTTGAAAGAAAAAGAATTTTAAAAATGTGACTTTCGAAAGGATCTGTAGTTAAAAAATAAGATTTTTTTTTTCGATTTACTTGAAATATTATTTTATGAAATATTATTTTATGAAAGAATATGTAATTGAAAGTAATTTTTGAAAAAATGAAGACCCAACATAAGCTCGATTATTACTCTCTCATATTTATTATTGACACACTAATTTTTTTTTACATCTAGTCACATTCCAAAATTTTGTTTTGTAACATGTGAAATAATAGTTAGTAAATCAACAATCAAACTAGTTCAAGTGCCTAATGAAAGATCGAATTGACGAAGCATAGTTACGAAATCTGGGTCAGCCTGAAAACCACCTAATTGACCGAACCCATCTAACAGATAGTGAACCCTTTGATTCATAGTCCAATAAATTAGTATCGATCTCACTAACGATGCATAATATTATTCTTGACAGAATGTTAATGCATCCGTCTAATTCTTGAATATAAGTACAAGTATGGCAAATTGAAATAAAATGATGATTGAGCAACTTGATTGAAGCAAAAAATATAATTAGTGACTTCATTGAACTTCTACTAAGAATTTAGTGACCATCAGCACTATTTTCGCCCATAATTTTAATTAATTTATAACTTTCATACCATCAAGAACGCTCAATACAGGACCCCACCATTCTCAAACGCACGGTGCAATCCTTTGGATCACTTTGTTAGAATTTTCTCAGAACAGAAACTGTACCGCGCCAAGGACCCGTCTATTATACAGACAGGCAGAAAGAAAGATGCAGAGGAGGTAGAAATGTTAAGACATCTAAATATCCTGTAACAATGGGCCTACTATGAGAGAATATTCAACAAAGCAGTAAATAAGAAAATATTACAACTTTTCAACTAAACGTTTGGAGTTGCACAACTGACTTCTCCTCAACTAGCATGTTTCTTTAGAAACGGGAATAAGAGGAAGCCAATTGAAAAAGGTGGGAATTCACCATATGTCAGCAACCTATACATATATAACACCTACCCTTAAAAGTTCTGTCCAGAGCTTACACAAGAGCATAAAAAACATAGCTCTCCAGATGAGCGAGTGTAGGTCTCCATGTCCCTTCAAGAGCTTTTAACATAACACAGTTATACAAAGCTAGAATGTTCATCAAAGTAAGCAGAATCTAACCACTTCCACACCAGTAGGGGAGAGGGGGGGGGGGGGGGGG